GCACTAGGAGGGTCTCTAAAACTAGAGAGCACCCCCCCCTCCTGCAACTCCAAGACTATCAGGTACGTTTTTTCACATTTTACGTTTGACCTCTGAGCATACGGCCATGTCCTGCAATTTAGCATTTATTATTTGACGATGATTGTCCCAGCATAGGGCCATAGCCCATAGGTGATGGACTCAATTCTAGGGGTGTTGTGTTCTTATTTTGACTTGCAAATGCTTAGAAGAAGTGTGCAAAACATGCAGGGCAAGATTGTCGGTGGCGTCCCGAATAATTGTATCTGAACTCTGACCATGCCTGTGAGCCCTAGCATGAGTGTTTTGCCTACGTTGATGTTTCAGATTGGGGTTAGACTTTTGGTTAAGCTCCTAGCTTTATTCTGTTGTTGCGCATTTCAAAGGCAGTTACAGCTAGCATTTTGTTGTGTGGCTGGATTGTATTATTTGATCTTTAAAGAAGTAAAGATTGCGACTTGAGGTTTGCTTTTAGAAAATTCGTGCAGAATGTAAACTATTCTCCACTTTAATTCATTGAGATTTACGATTTTATCTTATAAAATTATTAAAATGTTTTTTATAGGTATCTAATTACTCGAACTCGAACCCGTATTCATATACAATAATATTTTTTTTTACATATTTCATATAATTAACTTCTAGTTAAATTAATAAAAATTTAAATTTAAATAATCAAAAACTATAAAATATTTTTATAAATGAATATAATATATAATATAAAGTGTATGTATTAAAAAACATTACAAGTTATATACTATAAAGTGTGTGTATATATATATATGTGTGTGTTATAATTAATAATTTTATGAGTTATAATTTTTATGATATTAATACAAAATAAAAATAAATATATTTATATTTAAAGTATATATATTATAAGTATTTTAGGGTATATATATGTAAGAATAATTATATTTCTTATAAATAAACTCAATATGAATAAAGTAAAGATATTTAAAGACATTACAAGTTAATTAATAATCATAGTTTTATTAATTAATTTAATTAATTATATGAGTTTTTCTTTAATTACATAAAATTAAAAAAATAACTTAATTTCAAAATTAGTCTAATCTCACAATTTCTCTTCAGATAATTAAGTTTATATATTATAACTTTATATAAACCAAGGTATATATATTATACTGAATAATTTTATAAGTTATAATTTTTGTAATGTTAACATAAAATAGAAAGTAAGTATATTTATATTTAAAGTATATATATATTAAAAGTATTAGTATATATATAATATAATAATTATATTTCTTATAAATGAACCTAATATATATAATGCATATATTAAAAAAGTATTTCAAGTTAATTAATAATCATAATTTCATAAATTAATTTAATTAATTATAAAAGTTTGTCTTTAATTACATAAAATAAAAAAAATAGTTAGTTTCCAAAACCATTCAAATCTTAAAGACTGTTTTTAACTATATATATTATAAGTTATGATTTTTGTAATGTTAACACAAAATAAAAAGTAAAAATATTT